ATTTGAAGTTGGTGTCACGCCCCAAACCCAAAGCTTTGGGACCTAACAGACACCACATACTCATGAGATAAATCCAATAAGCATGTAAGGCAATAATATATTACTAAACTAAATATAATAACTCCAAAATCTCTTTAAATTTTTACATTTTACAAAACTTCAAATCACCAATAATACAATATATATAATCCTTCAAAAGATACAAATTTCTCATCTAGTTATTATCTCTTTACAAACTAAAAACCGAATACTTACAACAAAACTTATAAATGTCAAAAAACATTTACTAATCTTACTAACCAAAGCTCTCATTGAACAAGTCTAACCCCCATATATGAATACGAGTTGAAATCTGTAAAAATGATAAAGATTATAGAAATGAGTGCAATCACTCAACAAGTAACTGACATCTTTTCAACCGTATTAAGCATGTTCAAAATATTTAGGTCAAAATTATTAATATGCATATAAGTATCAAAATAGAATTTTGAGTAATATTATTCAGAATCATATATTTCAAAATTTCTGCTTTCAAATAACAAAGCAAACATATTTCACAAATATTTAAATTTTAGTGGTCTTTTGTAACATGCTACGATCACATTTAACCCCTATGGCATAGGTCAAAAATAAAACCTCAATTAACTATGGTGGCATAGGTCAGAAGTATATTAAAAGCAACCATTGGCTGCACTGAACAGATATCACAAATACTACTATTTTGTAAGCAATGGTGTGGTTAAGAGATTGATCTCTAATCACAGAATACATATCAACATGGTCAATATTTATGCCCCATGGACAAGATCAGAGCATAACTATATTAGGAGATAAAACAGAAACATATATTTTTAGATTACCTAAATTTCACAAAATAGTGTATTCACTTTTTCAAAACATATCTCATGCATATTAAAAATATATTCGTTTCAGATTAAATATTTATATTTATATTCGTGAAAGCATATATGCATACATTATACAAAGTTATATACAAATTTCAAAATAAAATTCACGCTTTGCATAAGCGACATTCTAAATCTAACATATAAAACTCATGTACATATACATTTTGTGTACTCAACTCGATTTAATAAATCATAGGACAAAATATCATATGTCATGTACAAATTAACATTAAAGCTAATTTTTAGGATGTGAAAACACTAAAGGGATATCAATTATTTACATGATTCGCTAAACCAAACCCAAAGGACAAAGAATCAGAATCCTCTTGAAGCTTATTAATTCAAAGTACTCAAAATTAGAAGCAAACATTTCTAACTTATCAAAACAAATCATGTCTTTCTGCTGGTTATTCTAAGGCATTTAGGGTGTAGCACCTCTTTCGCTAACTGAAAATCAATTTAATTCTTTTAATAATTTATAAATACATAAAACATTCAGAATTTAGAAAATCATAGATTATAGTACAAAATCAATAACAATATAAGGTTGGGTGAATCTGCTTTAAATACAAATCAAAATTTAGTTTGAATATTTTTAATAAAATATTTCAAAATATGTCAATTTGGAGTAATTTGTCAGATAAATATTTATTATAAAAAATTCACTAAAATTTCAATTGCTTAATTTTCTGAAGTTTCTAGCAAAATAGGTTGAAGGGGTATTTTTAAAAATAACCTTTAAAAATAAAATATTTTCAAAAATAGCATCCTTTATAATTTTAATTATTTTTAACCAAGTTGAATAAAATTAGCCTTAATGAAATTACACGCCATGATGTTACATGCCATGTACAGAAACATGTTACATACCATGGTTAGGATGTTACACACCATGTATAAAAATATGTGACATGCCGTAGTTAGGTTGTTACACGTTACACGTCAAATACAAAAATATGTTACATGTTATGGTTAGATTGTTACACGCCATGAACAAAAATATATTACACGTCATGATTAGGTTGTTACACGCCATGTTAAAAAAAATACTGCTGTTACATGCTATGCATAAAAATATGTTACAAGCCATGGTTAAAAAAGGTTGTCACACGCAATGTTAAAAAAAATATTGTTATTACATCCCATGTTAAAAAAATATTGTTGTTACACGTCATATTCAAAAACAATTTATTACACTTTAATGCCTAAACTGTTGTTGTTATTTACAAACTAAAACTTAAAATCCTCTCAACTCTCTTATTTCTTTTTGTTTTTTTGACGATTTGGTACTGATTAAAGTGTTTCTAACATGTTTTTATAAATTAAAACACAAATTTTCTTATCTAAAATACCTATTTTGACTAAAAATCGAATAAAATTTTCTTTGAAAACTTAGATTTATAAATTTTAAAATTTTAAGTTTATTGGTGTCTAGATCCTGAGTTGATCCAATTAAAAGCTATTTCAAACATCTGTGAACATTTCTACAATTTAGTTTTATCCAAAATACCTAAAAATCAAATTATCCAAATAATCATCCACTCAAGCGCATCAAAACCATCATTTGGTGTCTTCAAAGTACTGGAAAGAGAAATTTGAAAATGCGGGAGAGAGAAATTAGGAGCATAGTATACGAATGCCGAAGAGAGAAATCAATAAAATTAGAAAGAGTGGGATGGTGAGAGAGAGAAATCGGAAGCATAAATAGAGAGAAATAGTGATGAATGGTTTAATTTATTTGAAATAGTTTCAAGAGTATTTTTGTTAGTCATGGCTAAATATGGCTAAAAACAGTTAAATTTATTTTGATAATTATTTTTGAAATACCCTTATTAAGAAAGGTTATTTCTCATAATTTCCTCTAAGTTGAATATAAGTTAAGAATAATTTTTAAAACAATTAAAAATAAATTTTTATAAATTTTTAAATTTCAGATTTTTATGACCATTTGGCTTAAGTCGATCACTTATAACTCTGAACCTAAATTATTTTTAGTCATAAAATCAAAAACAAATTGAAGTACACATATCATCCTATAACACCAACATTTGTTTTGATTAAAAAGAATACAAAATTTCCAAGTTGCAGAAGTCAAAATTCTAGAAATCATCACAGAAATATCCAAAATTCTGGATTTCAATATCAATTAACTTATTTTGAGGCTTTAATTCTCTTAACACAAGAAGCCCCTAATCGAGGCATTGCCGCCAAATTAGACATCTCATTTCATACTACAAAAGCCCTTAAAGAAACGACCTAAAATGTTACAGGAATATGGAGTTCTAGTGACCCAAAGCTGGGTTGTCAAAACTGTTAAAAACCATATTCTCAATTAATTTCGAAAGTTCGTATTTTCATAACCACAAATTCGAACGAGATGTTACAAAAATTATTGGAAATTATTTCATGACCTTTTCATTGGCACCCATTATGCCATCTGAAAGTCCTCAGAAGAGTACTGGATTTGAATGAAAGGTAAAGAAACATACACTAAACTTAGAGATTTTTTATTTCAAATTATGTAAAATACAACTTTCATAAGTTGAAACTCAATCGTACCTTAATCGTTGCTTTTTTGAATAGATTTTTCCTTTCTCTGCCTTTTTCTTCTCTAGCATTAGTTTTTCCAAAATGGTTTTCATCTTCAGATTGTTTTTTTTTTACTGTTTAAACTTCTTCTAACAGTTTTCTTTAAATGTGATAATATAACTATTTTTCCTAAAACGTGTGATAAAAATTGACACCAACAAAACTACTCTATTTGCTAAAAGAACCTTATTTTATTATCTTTTTATTAATAAACCATAAGCCATAACTGCAATTATAAAAAAGTTGAACTTATATTTATTTATTTATTTAATATATATTATAACTTTGTATATAATTAATTAAGTAGGATTTTTTTAAGGGTATTACAATTGGTGTATTTCATATTAAAAATTTCAAAATCTTTTATAAAATTGATTTTTTTTCATGATTTTTAATATCAAAAAGTGCTTTAAAGAAATTAAATACCAAGAAGTTAAAAATTCATAAAAAGGTTTAAAAGTATAAAAAATGAGAGTATTAAATATTCAAAATAAAAAAGGAAAGATGACGTGATTTTTGAAACTTGAAAAAAGAGAAATATGAAAATAAAAATGAAACGGAGAAAGTATTTAATTATATACCTATACTAAACAGAGCATATGATAAAGGTTCCTATATTTTATTCTTATTATTGCATATATCAAACATAAGATATAATATATAAATCAAAACATTAACAAATTAATGAGTTTCAATCGGAGTAAGTACAATGAACAATTTTTTTTCCCAATCAAAGCTGATGGAAGATGGCAACGTCAACTTTCTACGTACACATATATTAAAGACCAAATAAACCACAAGATCCTTCACACACAAACTTTCGTCCACACATGGCTTGGCATCATATTGAATACTATATCAATCTAACACACTGTTCATATCGATTATCTATTTGATATGGCACCTTCCCATTGGAGGATAACACCTACCATGGCGTTTTAACTACGTTTGTTACCTTCCTCTTGGATCTTTAATTTGGCAGTTTCCTTTTTGCGTACAAATTGCGAAAATTAAGCATATACAAACAAATTGAGGCCAATTTATGGCTATCAGATCACCAAAGTGAGAGGTCGGCCAAATCCTCACTAAAAAGCTCACAAAATTAAAAAAAAATTAATTTGATTTAAAAATCGTCATACTGAATGATCATCAATTTGTAAAAAAGTAACTATTACTTTCATCGTACACAAATTAACTTTAAAATTAAAATAAATATATATAATATCTAATTTTTGAATTATGCGCGAAACACTAAATTTATTAAGAAAGCAAAAGTCACCCTAGTGTCCAATTTCAATATAATACATGTACACCTGACATTTATAATCTTCTAAGGGGAAATAAATAAACAAACAATTTAATAGCTAGCAATAAGTTTTGGTTAAATTACACAATTCCGCTAGCTTTGACTCTTATTTTGACCCACATTACATGTAAATTACATAGAAGCCAAGGTTCTGAAAATATCAATGATGAAATATTGTTAAAGCCAAATTCATAAACCTAGACACCGCAATAATCTGTAAGAGCGCATTCAGCTGTTTGGCCAGCCTCGGTGTAAAGGAATCCCAAAAATTCATCATTGGTAAAGGGTTTAAAGAGCAAGGGATGTTGTTCATCCACTAGCTCCTCCGGGGCCTTAATTGTGTAGCCGGCTTTTGGGATGGAAAACAGTCCCGTTGAGAATCTTGTCTCATTTCCCTTCATCATCACACGATGAAAAGGAGAGTGCATGTGACCATTTAACCATGCCTGCAAAATTTTATTTCGTTCAAAACTTTATATCAGCACAACAACCATCTGTGTGTTTCTTTAATCTACTTGTACGCATTGCTCAAGATTGAATTCCGAAACTAGCTAAACAAACTTATTCTAGTAGTTGCAGGTGTTAAAAACGACAAAGGATAATATGGGAAAGTTGTGTTTTTTTAAATGGGTGTCACTACTTTTCAGTAGTTATGACAGAAGAATAAAATAAGAATGACACATTTGATTGGGACAATATTTAAGTACTAAAGTGACATCATGAATGAAAGCAAAGAAATTGTTTTTTGGTACGGTGTCAGAGTTAAAATTTTCGATTATTCGTTAGCATCTTATATCAGTATTTTTTTTCTTAATTATATATAAAAATGAAATTATAATTCTTCACCTTTTTTTGGTCTTTTCATTTACGTAGGTATTCGAAAAGAGAATTGGAGGGACTTACTTTGAGAGGATCCCCAATCATCACGATGAAAGAGCGTGGAGAGGGTTTCACGTGTATCCATTCGCCATCTTTGGTTCGAACCTGTAATGCATGAACATCGTTGTTTTGGTACAATATGGTCATAATATTCTTATCCGTGTGACCATACAGTCCGAGCTTTGCCTCGGTGGTTTCAGGCCCTTTATATTTCATGAGTCTAAGAAGGTAATAATTCGAGTCCATGTGCTCTTCCATGTATTTCTCAAGACTTAAGCTCTCCAAAATCATCCTCCTAACCATTTGTTCCAATCCCAATGCTTGCTCCGCTAAATAATGTATCGGTTTGCTGCCAAACAAAACGGAAGAAATTAATACATTTAAATATATCTAATTTAAACTATGCTTAGGAATTGCAAATGAAATAATAGTTAACATGATTTTTTAAATTCTTTCGGTTTTGAATTAAAAATCTTCTTATATATGACTCTTTTATTTTATAACATTGATAAAATATAAATTTTACTACCAAAAGATATAAAAAAATTATATGAAAAAAAGAAAAGGTTAGCATTTAAAAAAGAAAAATGAATATAGTTTTGAAACAGTTTAAAAAAGAAAAATAAATATTTGGTTTCTTTTATAATGAAAAGTTCGGTAAATTTTTGCTGTGAAAATTAGAGTGCGAAATGATTTCAATTTAATCTGTGCAGAAGGAAGTTAAGTTGTTATGAACCTGAAAGTTGGGTTTCCTTCCGGCCACATGATGTTGGACAGGCCTTCTACATTCTCCATGTTTGGATCGTCGATGCCAATGCTTTCATACAGTGGCGACCTTGCAGGGTGTACCCCGAGGTATCCATGATAGGGCTTCTCAGAAACATTGAGCATTTTGGTTTCCAACGGGAGGTCAAAAAGCTCTTTCAATGCTCCAAATACTGCCTCCCGAAGCTCTAGAGGAACTTCATCGACCAAAGCCTCAAAGCAGCCGAATTCTTGAAGCGATTTCCGGACTTGAATTTTCACTGAATCCCATTCAGGGGTGCCTTGCTTCAGGTCTTTGTTTGAGAAATCTATGATTGGAATCCCAAGTGGTGTCTCGCAGCTTAGTTCTTCTCCCATTGTGAGGTGAACAAACAATGGCAGATGTAGATACTTTCTGTGCCGTAATTAAGCTACCATTTTAATTAGATTACTTATATAGTTAATTTGTTGCTTTTATTAACACAGTTGTTAGGAGACAAATGAACGATCGTGGGTTTATTGTTTTCTTCTTTCTTTATTGGCATGTTTAAGGAAGGTCAAATTTGAATGATCATGTGTTATTTTAGGCATAACATTAATTCCTCAGCAAAGAGATTCTTTGTAATAGAAATCACTTGTATGAGCTGGTTACAAACAACTAACTAAAGTCAACTCCCAATTTCATAATTGTATATATATATATAATTGCTGCTGATTGGGCCTACGGTTGGTTCTCTTAGGGATGATGATCTAAACATAGTGATTGCTAAGCTGTTAAGCTAACTATTATTTTTATTTTAATTTCAATATCCATCGTTTTTATAGTTGAAGGGGGAAATTACATTTTATTATGTGATGACATACAAATTTCGAGGGTTCTCGGGTTGTTTTCTTTCTAATTTCTATTAAGTACTGTTTTTTTTATTTATTTAAAGGTCAAGTTGGTTAGAGCTAGGTACGATATTAATTACTTAATGCCATTGGACACTTGAGTTGGATGGAAAATAAATAAATAAACATGCGAAGAATTTTTTTGTAGTTAGATTGAAACGGCAATTTTGAATCGGTGACGTTAGAGAAGCAAACCCAGCTCATATTGCCAGAAACCAGACTCTTACAAAGCAACATGAAAGTAAAAATTTGGTGGCTAAAATTAAGATTAAAAGTTAAAATTGACCAGAAACTGTATCACATTTTCATCTGTGCTAAACAACAAGTTCATTTTCTGGCAGGTAACCAGACTCGCTCGATCTGCTTTCTGTTTGACTTAGATTTAAAGCCATATTTCTATGAACTTTGGAAAAAAAAAAAAAAAGAGTAGCGGGTGAAATTAAGAAGAATGCATGTGACTTTAGCACCAAATCAGCACAAAACCATCTATACACGTTAAGCAACATATGATGATTATTTAAGAAATAAAATAAACTTCAATTGGCGAGAATATTGCAAACCGTCACAAGCATCCAAAAGGGTTCCTTAGAAAATGTAGGGACTCTTTACAGCATTGCTGAAACTGGTCAATCCCCCTGCAGTAATGAAAAAACACACAAGTGGCAGCCACCTTAGCCTGGAAATTATCTAAAATTTTATAATCATAATTTTAGTTAACGACTCTTTGGAGTTGGGTTCAATGTTAAGAATTTTGCTTCTCTCTTGTGTTTTGAACCTGTTGGGCACTTGGCAGTATTGTTGTTGATTATGTTTCTTAGGCATTACCTTACTGTTTCAGTGTTTTAGTTGCATGACTTGAATATGGAAACCCATTATTGAACGGGTGGAGGCAAAGCTCGCTGGTTGCAAAGTGAAATCGTTGTCATTGAGGAGGAGAGTTACCTTACTCAAAACAGTGTTAACGAGCCTCTCTATCTCCTACATGTCTTTGTTCCAGATACCTTGTTGCATTAAGAACGAGTAGGAAAATATTCAGCAATTGTTTTATGGGGAGGAGCTGATAATGAGAGAAAATTTCATTATATCAATGAGAGGAAGTGTGTAAGTATAGAGAGTGTGGAGGTATTGGGATCATGGATATGGAGGTTAAAAACCGTGCTTGGTTAAACAAGTGGATATTGAGATATAAGGATGAAAAGGACAACTTGTGGAGAGAGATTGTGGTTGGAACTTGCAAAAAACAGAGTTGCCTTTTGGGCCAATACAAGATGGCCTAATGAGTGTCTTTCTGTGCTAGATGTTTACAGACGGCCTTCTGCACAAGGTAGACCCAAACAAGAAAAAAGAGGTAGGAAAAGAATAAAATGGGATTTTCCAACGATGGGGGAGATGAAATTCAATGTCGATGGGACAGCGAAAGGGTGCCCCAGGCTTGTTGGTATAGGTGGTTCTCTTCGAGATTGTAATGGTGATGTTAAAATCGTTTTTTCTAAGTTCATAGGTTCTAATGACTTGAATTTGGCTAAACTTATGGCTATCAAGGAAGCTCTTCTGATTTTCACAGCTTCGATATGGAAAGTCAGTTGCAGATTAATAATTGAAATTCCAGTGACAAAGTGGATTCAAGAGCCGATGACAAACCCCCGGAGGATGAGGAAGTGTTTATGGCAGATTGAAAGACTCAAAGCTAACCTAGCTAGCTTGGAAATTAGAAACATCAAGAGGGAAGCCAATCAGAGGGCTGATGGCATGGCAAAAGAATGGGGCGCAACAACAAGTGGATATTTTGAGGACGTTTGAGTAATCATCCTTCTTTTATTTTGTTGCTGGTTAAAGGGCTTGTGTGTTCTTTTCATGCATGTTAATGAGTGTTTATGTAGTTTTTGATGCTCTGATTCTTAGTCTTTTATGTAAGGTCTTTTTCTTGATGTTGTGGGGGTTTTGAAAGGTAAGTGGATTCTGCAGATTGGTTGTCATGTATATGCTTATATGTGATTTCTTTTTGTTTTAAATTTGGCACTTGCAATATTAATGATGTTGGGGTGATAGGTTTTTTGTTGGTTAATTGTCCGCAATATGGTGAGGGATATGTGTTGATTCCCTGTTTAATTTCAAGTGTTTGTAAATGATTTTTGGGATGATATGCTAGAGTGAATAGCATATGGACCAAATTTCTTACGGTATGGAAGCTATTTTTCCATGGCTTGTAGATGATGGAGGGAATTTGTTTCGTTCTTTCATTTTAATGAAAATACCTTTATGATTTCAAAAAAAAAAAAAAGTTTGCCTAACTTAAATATAGTCGACATATAGGTAGGAGGTTGCTATGGTTCTTATTGTCTATTTATCTTTTGTGGGCCACTAGGGCTGTCATTAATTTAGATGCGGAGTTGAAAAAAATTGGCTAAAGTATCAAAAAGTTTCCATACTATAGTATTTTGTTCAATTTAGTCTCTCCATCCAAAATTTGATTAGTTTAGTCTCTATACTTTGATGTTATATGCAATTGGATTCTTATGAGTAACTCCATCAAAATTGATCTTTGACAATGTTAACATAATGCTGACATGATGTTGATAAGACTTTTGGTATTTTTTTTTTCCTCTTTGTCCAAAACTATGTTGTTTCGGTAAGACTATTTAAATCACTGTTTTTTTTTTCATTTTCCTTCTCTCTAGCTCACTTCTCTCTCTCCCTCTCCCTAAGACCACCCCAAACCCAAATTCTAGCCTTTAGTCACCAACCATCACTGTCACCAACCACCAATTTTCGATGGTCGAAAATTAAACAAAAACCACGAGACTCTTTTTTTTTTCACCCTTTTCCCTTCAATCAAGGTAGTTTTTTTTTTTCAAAATCTATCATGATTTTTCTAAATCTAAAAATGAAAATTGTTCAATTAGGTTAGGAATCTTCAGGAACTCCATGAAATTATTTTGATCCCAACAGTTGCATATTTAACAAGAAGGTACCACTCACCAACCACAATGAGTTTCAGATATTTAAGAACTAGTGTCATTGTAATTGAGTTGACTTGGTTTGAGCCATTAGGGCTTTTGACAAGCATTTTTTTTCTTTTCGTAAAACCAGGTCCGTTTCTATAACTTAAGCAGAGGAATCCAAGAAATTTCTTTTTAATCCTTAAGACACTAAGAGAGATGAGCTAAGATTCTTTATTTGTTATAATTATATCACCTTTAGGCCAATGGGTGGAGCCAAGATTTCACATTTGGGGGGTAGAAGACATTTATACAAAACCATCATACTAGAAATTCATTGTTTGACAAAAACATAGAGTAACTTTAATGGAAAAAATTCAAGTGAAAATTACTCAAATAACTCCAACTATGTGTTAAGCACAAAATAAAGACACTTTTTAACAACTATTGCATGTTAAGATTTGGTGTCTTTAAGTGAGCTAGATGATCTTTCATAGAGTTGAAGGCATTTATCATGGAATCAAGGCCAAAGCTTAGTATGATTTCCTTTTTACTGAGAATGATCAATGGATTTAAGAAAATTATATGATATTTTATTACAAATCTTGTTCTTAACGAGTTTCATAGCAGAAAATGCACGCTCTGACGTTGTAGTGGAAACTAGATGAGTCAAGACAAGTCGAATCAATTTATCAAAAAAGAAGTAAGCCTTTGATATTCCCATCTTTTTCAACACTTGACATAGTTCATAAAGTGTAGATACTTTTTTAAAAGCTTGATTATGAAGAATGTCGAGTTATAATAGATCCAATTGATAGTTTAAATGTATTTTATCATACTCAATAAAGTCCTCAAGGTAATATTTATTTGCACAGTTGCAAATATTTTCAACATCCAATGATTCGAAATAATTTTGAGGGTCTATAGATGTACCAAAAGTAAGCAACTCCACCACATTCTCATTAAATTTGGAATCTAATTCTTGCAAGAGTGAGTCAATAATACCCAAAAACAAGTCAACTATGCGTTAGTGCTCAATTGAGATATGTTATAAAATAATTGTAGGGGCAAAATTATAAAACTTCAAAAACAAGGTATTTTATAAAAATTTTAAAATTTTTGTAAGGTTAAATTTAAAAATTCCAAAAAAATAAAGTATGTTTTAAAAATTTTAAACTTTTGGGGATGGAAGGGAGGGCTAACCCTTCGACTCTACTTTAGGCTTCTTTAGGATAGCAGTATTCAACCAAAAAACTCTCTTGTGTAACCCATTAACTTGAAGAAGAGGATATTGGAACCTTCGGAGTCTAAGTCCATAGTTTTCCATCTCCATTTATATGCAAACTAAAAGGATTAATGTGAAAATAAAAAAAAATTGGTAAAGGATACATCATGATATTAAAAGAGAATTAGATAACTGGCTTATAAAATTAAAATTTCAAACAAGATCATATGATTATTTAGACAACATATTGATCATGTAATGGTTTGGCAGCTAGCTTGTTGCATTGAATATGGCCTATAACTATTGCTAGAAAAATCACTGTC